AGGAATTGGTAGACTATCTAGAAACTTGCAAAACACCCTAAAAACATACAGTTTGCTCTTCTGGGGAGTGCCTTGGTTCCCTTCCTGTTCTCCAGGACGGTGCAGGGAGGTGCCCACGGGAGGTGACCTCCATGGACGAGGCACCTGCAGAAGTCCATCGGAGCAGAAGGTTGTGTCAAAGGTGCCTTGGGCTCTTCTGGCTTTGGGTGCAGACCGGTGTGGGACACGGTCAACACCCTAAAAACATACAGTTTGCTCTTCTGGGGAGTGCCTTGGTTCCCTTCCTGTTCTCCAGGACGGTGCAGGGAGGTGCCCACGGGAGGTGACCTCCATGGACGAGGCACCTGCAGAAGTCCATCGGAGCAGAAGGTTGTGTCAAAGGTGCCTTGGGCTCTTCTGGCTTTGGGTGCAGACCGGTGTGGGACACGGTCACTGCGCCTGCGTGGATGCTGGTGGACGTGGGCAGGGGTGTGGGCTGGCTCTGGCTCTGCCTCTTGCTCTCAGGCTCACTGCCAGCATCCTCTGGGTATCGGTGAGGGCTCGGTACCGGGGCTCTTACGTGTCAGTCGAGCTGAAACTCAAATGTCTGGCTGATTGTGAATTCATCTGCATCGGCTACATATGCATGCTGGTCTTCACTCTGAAAGAAAAGCTGATGAAAGAGGCAGGAACACAGTCTCAGTAGGGAAGAGGCTTTTAGAGGGGAAAAATTGTTTGAAAAATAGCGAAGAGAGAGGAGGGGAAAGAAGTCTGCTGGGAAAGGAGCATAACTGCATTACTTCCTTGGAGGTCTGGGAAATACATTATGCAGAGCTCCAAACAATGTTTGCCAGCAGCAAGTCTGCTTAGATGTGTCCATGGGGGTTTCCTTGCATTTTTTTCTTCTTTTTTTTTTTTTAATAGCCAAACTCTTTCTTTCCTGGGGCCCAGGGTGATCTGTGACTCCTGAGTTTGCATTAGGAACTCGTTTGTCAGCACGTTAACGATGTGCTCTGGGCTATGCGTGCCGTTAGCATTCGGGGAGAAGGTCCACCTGGCACGGTCCCGTCCGATCCCTGGGAGAGGAGTGGGTTTGGCCAGGGAAGGGCTTGGCTGCACCGGAGCAGTCTCGAGATGCCGTTTTTGGATCAGCTGGAGCTGAGCAGGTCTCTCTGGGGCTGGACGTCCCTCCCTTGGCGCCGGAGCCGGGCAGGGGTGGTCTCGCGGGATGGGGACGCTGGCTGGTGACTGCTGAGGAGCAGGATCAGCCCCTTCCCCTTTGCACTCGTGTGACTCTTGATGGCTTTGCAGGAGCCGTGCTGGGTCTGCGGGGTCTCTGAGCCCTTTGTAGGGCCCGAGAAGACCATGGTGGGGTTTGGCTTGAGCGTGTTGGCAGTGGGTGCTCTCTTGGCCATGTTCTTCCCGAGCGCTCTGCTCTGCTCCGTGTTCCCCCACAGGGTTCCTAAAATGCCTTCTTGCACCTGGGCATTTTAAGTCACTGTCCCATTTATTTTGGTTTCTTCCCTGTTGCCGTGGGTCTCTGGTTTGTGGCACAGGGCTGGTCTGCCCTTGGGGAGGTCTCATTCTTGGCCCCAGTTCTGCCACTGAAGCCTGTGGCTCCTCCGAAAGGTGACTTCACCTCTCTCTGCCCCAGGTTCATCAAAGATGAGTTGGGTCGTGTCCTGTTGGCACATGCCACCACCAGAGGTCATGAGGATGTACGAGCGGCAGAGGTGTCCCTTTGCTTCTGGGGCTCTGGCGTTGACCGTCCTGCCCCTTCCCTGTGTGCTTTCAATGAGGGCTCATTTCAAACAGGCTCCTTAATGCATGAGCTCCCCAAACGTGTTCCTGTACTCTGGTCTTCCCTGGGACCTCCAGGTTTCCTTTTTCAAGGCAACATCTGCTCAACTGCTCAACGCCCCTGCATGGGCGTGTGTCCCCATCACCTCCAGAGCCACCGAGAGGGACCTGCAGCAAGTGGAGGTGTCCCACGGAGGGCTTTCCTCTAGCTGGGAACCCCCAGCAGTAAAAACACCTTCAGGGAGGACTGAGGAGCGAGGGAGGGTCATGGCCAGGCGCCCTCATCGCTGTCTGCAGCCGGACTGCAGCCCTCGGACGCGGAGCAGCGTGGCACCGGAGGTCACGTCCGTGCTGTCAGCGGGAGCGTTTAGCAGGGAGGGATTTCCCGAGGGGCTGATCACTGGGGTTATGCAATCTCCGCAGCTTTCCCCTGCTGAGACTTTCATCGTAGAAATTTTCTGACATTTTTGCCCTCTGGAACAAGCAGCATCTCTTCTGTGTTGTGTGAGCCCCTGGAGAATTAGCAGAGCCTTTTTTAATCCCAACCGATGGATGCGAGAGGCAATCCTGGCTCATGCGCGACAGCGGGCTGGTGCTCAGCGCAGGAATAGTCACCTGTGGCATTTCCATGTCGTGCTGTCCCTGGATGGTGGGTGACAGTGGGTGACAGCTTGGATAGGGCTGGAGGAGGTTTCACACCGTGGTCTCTCCCCAGCTTGACTTGGACATCGCGGGCAGGCTGGCCCCGCAGCCAGCATCACCCCTGCTCTCATCCCGGCATCCCAAGGACGCGTGTAGCTTTGGGCAAGTTCCCGCAGTCCTCTGTGGCCGGGTAAAAGGATAAAAGCCTTCTCCCACTTCACGGGGTTTTGCGAGGGTTCGCAGGCGGTAGCGGGATGCTTTGAAAGGGAAATGTTTTAAGTGTTTGTCTGCAAACCGCCTCTGAGACGGACGTGTGCTGTCGTGCTTTTAAGAAAATGTCTTTATTTGTCCTGTCTGAAAGGAGGCGATTCCCCCTCTTGTGTCTAGTCTCTGGATGCCCCCTCTCTGCCGGGGGGTTGCGGCTGCCCCCCACCTCGGCAGCGGTGCGCGAATCCCCTTTTTTCTGCTGTATTTTTCAGGCTCCGACCGCTGGACATCGAGTTCATGAAACGCCTGAGCAAAGTGGTCAACATCGTCCCCGTGATTGCAAAAGCCGACACGTTAACGCTGGAGGAGAGGGACTACTTCAAACAAAGGGTAAGGGGCTGGCGGCTCTTATCGGGGCTCCCATCTCCTGTCCCCCATCCCCTCCCGCCCCCTTCCCCCCCCCAGCGCCCTCCCCTGCGCAGGGCTGGGAAGGCGAGCGCCTGGCCGGGAGCCCAGCGCATTCCTCCGGCTGCAGCTCCGAGCGATCCCACGTGGCCGGAGGAAAGGCCTGCGCTCCAAGCAGTTCCTAGTGTTTCTCTTGGATCTTTGTCAGTGCAGGATAAGTTTCGAGCTCTAAGTCTTGGGGCCTGTTTCTCCTGCCTCCTTTGTTATTGTTGTTGTTATTTTCAGGCTCGTTTCTGTTATTTTGGGAGGTAGACGGTGCTGCACATAGAGGCTGGAAAACCCACCCTGTGCAGCATCGTGCACTGATACAGGAACCAGGCAAAAAAATGTGCGGGTTTGCTGAGCTCAGCTGGGCAAGATTTATGGGGGAAGCAAGGCACGCCGTTCCCTGGGTGGGGAGCTGCGGTGGGGAGCCGAGGAGGGGCTGTCTGAATCCACAGCGTGGGCTTCCCTCCGTGCACGCACGCCTGGTGCTGCCAGAGGTGGAGATGCCCCGCTTTGGGGTTCGGTAAGGGGCTGTACATCCGTTCGTGTAGCTGAGGGATGCGGCTGCAGGCGTGATGGCCTCAGCGTTCCCTGCAGAAGTAAGCAAGCCACCAAGCTCGTTGGTCCATGAGTCTGAACTGCAGGGAAGCGAAGCGAAGGGAAAGGGGGTCTTGCCAAAGGGGCGGTTTTAGGGGCCACCTCCACTGGCTGTGGAGAGGACGGCACGTTAGCCAGGGGTTTGTTCGATGCCTCTGTGCAGGAGAGCATGAGCCAGCCCTTCCCGCAGCAGGGTCTTCCCAGTTCTTGATGAGCAGGATCAGGCACTGAAATATCCAATCTGTTTTTGGGGGCTGAATCCAAAGTCTGCAAGCAGTTCCCTTTGCAGTGAGCCAGAGGATGGCTGGAAATGGAGCCGAGAGGTAATCCAGGCTGGACTTGATTGGCGTGTCAGCCTGTTTGCCCGCAGATCTGCAAGGAGCTGGTGCGGGAGGATGGGGGTGTGAGTCCGCGGTGCCACATCTGCTCTCTGCAGTGGCTTTTGCAGGCTGCTGGCTCCGTTCAGAGGTCACAAGTGTGCGTATCCGGGTGTCTGCGGGTGGCTGGCTGGCTCTGGGACTACAAAGTCAGTCTGGGACCTAAAATGTCACCTGGGTGCTCTCAGCTACTGATACCATCCTTGTGTAATGAAAGACCATGGGGAGACCGCCTGGCTCGCCTGCTCTGCACCGACTCGGTGCAGGATGAGCTCGCTCTATCTCTAATTACATTCCTGATTGTAACCAGACCCCCAAAATCCTTCCAGATGGAAGGAGAACACGTAGCCACGTGGCGTGTTTGCAGTGCCCCTTCTGCAAGGGGCTCGCCCTCCTTATGCTCACGGCTCCAGATCCGCTGGTGCAAACGAGAGGGCAGGTAATTGGTCCGGGTGGGACCTTTTCCCTTTGCTCCAGCGCGGCTGCGTGCGTGCTTCCAAAAAGCAGAGCCCGGTCTGCATCTGGGGGTGTAGCTGGTTTGGGGAGGCGATAGATTTTTGGGTTTGGGTCGGGGTGGGCAGGTGATGGTGAAGCACCAGCCTGGCTGCAGGCTGCCTGGGTTGATGCCAGCGCTGCACTGAGTTAGCGGAATGGGCTCCGACGCCTTGCGGAGTTGGCTTTGTTGGGTTGTTCCCCTAAAAATAGTGTATGGGTTTGGCTGGGGGGTGGGAGGCTGACTGGGGGGTTTCTCTGGGCTGGATCCGCTTCCTTTGCCAGCCTGCAACGTAGGGCTGGCGCGGAGCAGTTTATTGCCATAGGAAGCGATGGGAGCGGGCACGCAGACTGGGTTTGGGTTTGCAGCTTTGTTGGAGAAGTCTGATCCTCCGTGCTCCCCGAGAGCTGAGCCTCCACCCAGGAATCAGATTTCAGCATCTCTTCCCCTTGCACAGAGGCAATATCCTTAGAGGCTGCTCTTCCAAGCTGTGTAGGGCTGGCGCGGAGCAGTTTATTGCCATAGGAAGCGATGGGAGCGGGCACGCAGACTGGGTTTGGGTTTGCAGCTTTGTTGGAGAAGTCTGATCCTCCGTGCTCCCCGAGAGCTGAGCCTCCACCCAGGAATCAGATTTCAGCATCTCTTCCCCTTGCACAGAGGCAATATCCTTAGAGGCTGCTCTTCCAAGCTGTCTGTGTCCCTGTCCCTGGATCAGGCGCTGCCGTGACTCCTTTTCCAAGGAGCATGAGCAGACACCAGAAAGCAACTTCTTAACTTTGGGTTACGTGCCTGGCAGTTACATTCCCCATTGCTTGGTGCAGCTTGTATTGGCTTATTGTCTTGTTCAATCCCAAAGCAACGCCCAGCTCGTATAACTTCATCTCGCTCTCAGCCTGAACCGTGTCTTGGCACCAGGTTCTTGCAGAGATTCCAGGGCAAGCGCTTGGTAGGTGTGCAGCAGTTAAACACAGGTCTCTCTCCCCAAGGCGAGCAGTGTTTAGGATGGAGAGGGAAGATACTGCTGCTGGGCATTGCTCACAAGAGCCTCTTGGCTCAGCTGGGAGCTGCCGCTGTGGTGGGAGCGCAGCTCCTCTGCCTGTGTCTCCTTCACGTGTTCCTCTGCTCTTCTCTCCTAGATAATGGCTGATCTTCTTGCCAATGGGATCGACGTGTATCCTCAGAAGGAGTTTGATGAAGACTCTGAAGATCGGCTAGTCAACGAGAAATTCAGGGTTAGTGCGTGGTGTTGCGGGTTGGACGTGTTTGGATGGGCCCTGCAGCTCCGGGTGCTGGTTATGTCCTGGGGCGTCTCTATTTTGCAAAGTGCCTCTATTTTCTTTCCAAAGCCACTGTGCCCCTGTCCGGGGGGGTCTGCCCAGGACCAAGGATCAGAGCAGGGACAGAAAGAGGGTGAGGAAGGTACCTGGGGAAGGTGTCCTCTCCCGTCTGTGCCGCTGCTCCTTCCCCCAGCCCCGTTCCTCCAAGGTGCCCTCAGCGGGCAGGGGGTCCCGTGCCGGTGTCTGCCCACCCCAGGCGAGGGGAGCAGCCTTCCCGGCACCCGCAGGTAATTTGCCCGTAGGCTGCTCTGCTTTCCTGGCTGTCAATTCCTTGCTGTAGGAAGTAGCTAACAATTTTTTGGCTCAATAAAGTGGATTGGACAAATTCAAGGAAGAAAAAAGTCTTCTAGGGACTCTTAAGTACAAAGACACCACCTTGGATCAGGAAATGAGTGAGCCACAGGTTGCCAGATGCTGGGGGCGATTCCCGGAGAAGCGTCATGATAGCTTTGCCCTGCCTGTACGCTGGTGCCTGGGCTAGACTGGTTTTGGGCTGATTTTAGAGTGCTTTTGGGCTGGGCACATGCGTGAGAGATGCTGCTGCCCGGGTCCTGGCAGGCAACGCAGGGACAAACCAGCTCACCCCATGAAACTCTCCCGAAAACAGCTTGATTTAGGACTTTGCTCGCCAGCTTGCTTTCCTGACCGGTTGTCGGGAGGAAAACGTAACCTTTTTTTTCTCTTTCCTCAGGAAATGATCCCCTTTGCAGTGGTGGGCAGTGACCAGGAGTACCAGGTTAATGGAAGAAGAATCCTTGGAAGGAAGACCAAGTGGGGCACCATTGAAGGTACCTGTCCTTGTTTCCCTACCTCTTGAGCCCATCTCCCTGCCCTGACAGAAGGTGCTGAGGTCCAAAACCAGCAGTAGAAGTCGAGGTGTGTATAGTGCTTCCCTGCCCCTCCAAAGAAAATCACTTCCCTGGTGTTTGGGGACTGAAGACACCTTGGCCAATGCTCCTGTGCCGAGCTCCTGGGCCTTTGTGCGGCTCGGGGGGCTGCGGAGTGCCGGAGGGGACACGTCTGGGTTTCTTGTGGCCTGGCTTCTGCTGGTTGCACAGTTAAATGCCCGATGGCTGGATTTGAGGGCACACGGGTGCGGTGCTGACGTCTCTGTCTCGAGCCCAGATTAGAGCCTTGCCCCTGGCATCTGTAGGTCTCTGCACCCTCCACCATGCATTTGGCTGGTGCCCTTGGAGGATCTCATCCTTCTTCCATCTTCATCCCATCATCTTCCTCTTTTATCCCCCATTTTAAATCACGGTTTAAAGGCTAGATGAAGGCTCCTGGCTCCAGTGTATCTACACATTTCCCTGTCCCTGAGAGCCAACTGGCACGTCTCCAGTGCCACCCGTCTTATCTTCCTCCCCTTCATTTCATAGGTTTCTCTCATCTATGAGTCTTTTTAATAGGAATCCTGTGTTGAGGGATGGCTTAACAAAGGTGCCAGGAAAATCAGTGTATTTTAAAGCTCTGCTGCCCTCTTGTGCTCTGTCCTTGGAAGCTCTGAGTTTAATGGGGCTCATTAAACCACTCACCTCCCGCATGTGGCAGCTGCCTTCAGCACGGGGAGAACCCAGGACCCAGCCATGGCCACGGGCAGCCTTTGCAGAAGAGTGTTATTTGCTGTCTTGCCATTTCTGCATTATGTTCAAGCCTGTTTGGGTGGAAAAAAATCAAAAAAAGGGAGTTGATCCTTTAAATTCAAATGCCTGGTAAACTGCAAGCTGTCAGACTAATTGTGGTGGAGCAACACCCCTTGATTTTTCCCTCTTGCAAACACTCTTGCTTTCTCCAAGCCCTGTTCCGACAGCAGTAGCCTTTGTCAGCAAGAGCAGCAGCACCGGCAGCCCGGGCAGCACAGTCACTGACGTGCCTGGGATGTTGCAGGACGCTCGTGGTGAAGCTACAGATGAAACGCTTCTCTGGAGCCTTGCCGGCGCTCACTGCAAAGGCTCTGTCCCTTTCCCTGCCTTCTTTGGGGCCCACTTAAGCTTGTGTTGGTCCAAAGTGGGGGTCATGGTGGGAGATGCTGCCGGGAGCTCCCTCGTTTGGTGGGAGATGGTGGGAAGGGACCAGGAATGCTCAGTCAGACCTCACCAGCCAGTTGGTCATGCTGAGCTGGGGCACGTACCTGGGTAAATCACTGGCCTTACAGCAGCAAAGAGGACTCTTGAGTCCTGCACCCTGTAGCCCCTGGGGGTAAGTCCCCATCTCAGCCCTCCACACGCTAGTGAAGCTCTGCAGGGTCCTCCTTACCCTGAGCGGTCGCCATGCACATGCCGTGGGTGCACGCTGATGGGTTTCTCTCTCTTCCTACCAGTGGAGAACACGACACACTGTGAGTTCGCCTACCTGCGGGACCTCCTCATCAGGTCGGTAGGACTGTGCCCTATCCCTGTAGCCTTCGGTCACCAGGTGGCATCCAAAGAAAGGGGAGAGCCCAGCCCAGCTTGAAGCAGCTGCTGCTTCGCTCTGCTCATCCACCCGTCCATCCTTCCATCCGTCCATCCCCTCCCAGCCTGCTGCAGTGCTGCAGCCCCTCTGCGAGGGGTGGCCCCGCTCAATGGGACGTGGCTTCAGGGGGCTTTTCTCAGCGACGGTGCTGAGTTAAGGGAGGAGACGAGCAGTGGATGGGTCAGGACAGACTCCAAGGTCGCTGGCAGCGTGCAGTGTGGCTCCAGCTCGCCTGCAAGCAGCTGGGAAGCCTTTTGGCCTTACTGATCCCTCACCAGTCCCAGGTCCTACCCCCAGTCCGAAGACATCACCCTCCTGCGTCCCAGGATCGTGCCGTTGGGGGTCTGGGCGATCGCCGGTCCCTCTTGAAAGAGGCGTCCCTGCTGCAGGGAATGGGAGGCTGAGCCCCCTTGGCTTGCTGGAGGGGGCATTGGGCTCCTCCTAAATTTGGCTGCAAGATAAACTCTGCACACGTGAGCGGTTGCTGGCAGCTAGTTGTGTGGGGCTACAAAACCTGATCCCAGGGACTCGCAGGACCGGTGTCTTCCCGGACGGGTGTTACGCAGGGCTCCCGCCTACCCCAGCACGGGCTGTTGGTACCAGTGAAGGCTTCTGGTCTTGGCTGCCCATAACTGCCTTTGCTTCCCTCCTGTGTCCTAAAGATACCGTTAACCAGTAAATCAGGAGGGGAAATTTGGGCTGGAGGGGGTGTTTGAAAGCAGAGGTTGGGGGGTGCACGGGTTGGGGTGGCGGAGGCTGGGCTGGCCGAACCTGCGCCCAGCGAGGTGCGATTGCCCCCGTCTCCCTTTCCCGCAGGACGCACATGCAGAACATAA